TGTACATGATTACCACACTGTGTCCTTGTGTACATGATTACCTCACTGTGTCCTTGTGTACATGATTACCACACTATGCTCTTGTGTACATGATTACCACACTGTGTCCTTGTGTACATGGTTACCACATTGTGTCCTTATGTATATGGTTACCACACTGTGTCCTTGTGCACATGATTACCACACTGTGTCCTTGTGTACATGATTAAATTTACCACACTGTGTCCTTGTGCACATGATTGTCACACTGTCCTTGTGTACATGATAACCACACTGTGTCCTTGTGTACATGATTACGACACTGTGTCCTTGTGTACATGATTACCACACTGTGTCCTTGTGTACATGATTACCACACTGTGTCCTTGTGTACATGATTACCACACTGTGTCCTTGTGTACATGATTACCACACTGTGTCCTTGTGTACATGATTACCACACTGTGTCCTTGTGTACATGATTACCACACTGTGTCCTTGTGTACATGATTACCACACTGTGTCCTTGTGTACATGATTACCACACTGTGTCCTTGTGTACATGATTACCACACTGTGTCCTTGTGTACATGATTACCACACTGTGTCCTTGTGTACATGATTACCACACTGTGTCCTTGTGTACATGATTACCACACTGTGTCCTTGTGTACATGATTACCACACTGTGTCCTTGTGTACATGATTACCACACTGTGTCCTTGTGTACATGATTACCACACTGTGTCCTTGTGTACATGATTACCACACTGTGTCCTTGTGTACATGATTACCACACTGTGTCCTTGTGTACATGATTACCACACTGTGTCCTTGTGTACATGATTACCACACTGTGTCCTTGTGTACATGATTACCACACTGTGTCCTTGTGTACATGATTACCACACTGTGTCCTTGTGTACATGATTACCACACTGTGTCCTTGTGTACATGATTACCACACTGTGTCCTTGTGTACATGATTACCACACTGTGTCCTTGTGTACATGATTACCACACTGTGTCCTTGTGTACATGATTACCACACTGTGTCCTTGTGTACATGATTACCACACTGTGTCCTTGTGTACATGATTACCACACTGTGTCCTTGTGTACATGATTACCACACTGTGTCCTTGTGTACATGATTACCACACTGTGTCCTTGTGTACATGATTACCACACTGTGTCCTTGTGTACATGATTACCACACTGTGTCCTTGTGTACATGATTACCACACTGTGTCCTTGTGTACATGATTACCACACTGTGTCCTTGTGTACATGATTACCACACTGTGTCCTTGTGTACATGATTACCACACTGTGTCCTTGTGTACATGATTACCACACTGTGTCCTTGTGTACATGATTACCACACTGTGTCCTTGTGTACATGATTACCACACTGTGTCCTTGTGTACATGATTACCACACTGTGTCCTTGTGTACATGATTACCACACTGTGTCCTTGTGTACATGATTACCACACTGTGTCCTTGTGTACATGATTACCACACTGTGTCCTTGTGTACATGATTACCACACTGTGTCCTTGTGTACATGATTACCACACTGTGTCCTTGTGTACATGATTACCACACTGTGTCCTTGTGTACATGATTACCACACTGTGTCCTTGTGTACATGATTACCACACTGTGTCCTTGTGTACATGATTACCACACTGTGTCCTTGTGTACATGATTACCACACTGTGTCCTTGTGTACATGATTACCACACTGTGTCCTTGTGTACATGATTACCACACTGTGTCCTTGTGTACATGATTACCACACTGTGTCCTTGTGTACATGATTACCACACTGTGTCCTTGTGTACATGATTACCACACTGTGTCCTTGTGTACATGATTACCACACTGTGTCCTTGTGTACATGATTACCACACTGTGTCCTTGTGTACATGATTACCACACTGTGTCCTTGTGTACATGATTACCACACTGTGTCCTTGTGTACATGATTACCACACTGTGTCCTTGTGTACATGATTACCACACTGTGTCCTTGTGTACATGATTACCACACTGTGTCCTTGTGTACATGATTACCACACTGTGTCCTTGTGTACATGATTACCACACTGTGTCCTTGTGTACATGATTACCACACTGTGTCCTTGTGTACATGATTACCACACTGTGTCCTTGTGTACATGATTACCACACTGTGTCCTTGTGTACATGATTACCACACTGTGTCCTTGTGTACATGATTACCACACTGTGTCCTTGTGTACATGATTACCACACTGTGTCCTTGTGTACATGATTACCACACTGTGTCCTTGTGTACATGATTACCACACTGTGTCCTTGTGTACATGATTACCACACTGTGTCCTTGTGTACATGATTACCACACTGTGTCCTTGTGTACATGATTACCGCACTATGTTCTTGTGTACACCATTACCACATTGTACCCTTGTGTACATGATTACCACACTATGTTCTTGTGTACACCATAACAACATTGTACCCTTGTTTATATGATTACCACATTGTACCCTTGTATACGCCATTACCACACTATGTTCTTGTGTACATGATTACCACACTATGTTCTTGTGTACACCATTACCACATTGTACCCTTGTTTATATGATTACCACATTGTACCCTTGTATACGCCATTACCACACTATGTTCTTGTGTACACCATAACCACATTGTACCCTTGTGTACACCATAACAACATTGTACCCTTGTTTATATGATTACCACATTGTACCCTTGTGTACATGATTACCACACTATGCTCTTGTGTACAACATCACCACATTGTACCCTTGTGTAGATGATTACCACATTGTACCCTTGTGTACATGATAACTACATTGTTCCCTTGTTTACATGATAACCACATTGTACCCTTGTGTACATGATTAACACATTGTACCCTTGTGTACGTGATAACCACACTGTGTCCTTGTGAACATGACTACCACACTGTGTCCTTGTGTACATGATTACCACATTGTACCCTTGTGTACATGATAGCCACACTGTGTCCTTGTGTACATGATTACCACACTGTGTCTTTGTGTACATGATTACCTCACTGTGTCCTTGTGTACATGATTACCACACTGTGTCCTTGTGTACATGATTACCACACTGTCCATGTGCACATGATTACAACACTTTGTCCTTGTGTACATGATTATATTTACCACACTGTGTCCTTGTGCACATGATTAGCACACTGTCCTTGTGTACATGATAACCACACTGTGTCCTTGTGTACATGATTACCACACTGTGTCCCTTTGTACATGATTACCACACTGTGTCCTTGTGTACATGATAACAACACTGTGTCCTTGTGTACATGATTGTCTCACTGTGTCCTTGTGTACATGATTACGACACTGTGTCCTTGTGTAGATGATTACCACACTGTGCCCTTGTGTACATGAGTACCACACTGTGTCCTTGCCACACTGAGTCTTTGTGTACATGATTCCCTCACTGTGTCCTTGTATACATAATTACCACACTGTGTTCTTGTGTACATGATTGGCTCACTGTGTCCTTTTGTATATGATTGCCACACTGTGTCCTTGTATACATAATTACCACACTGGGTCCTTGTGTACATGATGACCACACTGTGTCCTTGTCTACATGATAACAACACTGTGTGCTTGTGTACATGATTACCGCACTGTGTCCTTGTGTACGTGATTACCTCCCTGTGTCCTTGTGTATATGATTACCACACTGTGCCCTTGTGTACATGATTGTCTCACTGTGTCCTTGTGGACATGGTTACCACACTGTGTCCTGGTGTACATGATTACCCCATGATTACCACACTGTATCCTTGTGTACATGATTGGCTCACTGTGTCCTTGTATACATAATTACCACACTGTGTCATTGTGTACATGATTACCACGCTGTGTTCTTGTGTACATGATAACAACCCTGTGTCCTTGTGTATATGATTACCACACTGTGTCCCTTTCTACATGATTACCACCCTGTCCATGTGCCCATGATTACCACACTGTGTCCGTGTGTACATGATTACCAAAATGTGTCCTTGTGTACATGAATTCCTCACTGTGTCCTTTTGTATATGATTGCCACACTGTGTCCGTGTGAACATGATTACCACACTGAGTCCTTGTGTACATGATAACCACACTGTGTCCTTGTGAACATGATTACCCCACTGTGTCCCTGTGTACATGATTACCAAAATGTGTCCTTGTGTACATGTTTACCACACTGTCCTTGTTTAAATGATTACCACACTGTGCCCTTGTGTACATGATTGGCTCACTGTGTCCTTTTGTATATGATTGCCACACTGTGTCAGTGTGCACATGATTACCACCCTGTCCATGTGCCCATGATTACCACACTGTCCTTGTTTAAATGATTACCACACTGTGCCCTTGTGTACATGAGTACCACACTGTGTCCTTGTGCACATGAGTACCACACTGTGTCCTTGTCTACATGATAACAACACTGTGCCCTTGTGTACATGATTACGACGCTGTGTCCTTTTGTACATGAACACTGTGTCCTTGTGTGTCCATGTGCACATGATTACTACACTGAATCCTTGTGTACATGATTACAACACTGTGTCCTTGTGTGCATGATTACCACACTGTATCCTTGTGTACATGATTGTCTCACTGAGTCCTTGTGTACATGATTCCCTCACTGTGTCCTTGTTTACATGATTACCTCACTGTGTCATTGTGTACATAATTACCCCACTGTGTCCTTTTGTACATGAACACTGTGTCCTTGTGTACTTGATTACCACACTGTGTCTTTGTGTACATGATAACCACACTGTGTCCTTGCGTACATAATTACCACACTGGGTCCTTGTGGACATGATTACCCCACTGTGCCCTTGTGTACATGATTGTCTCACTGTGTCCTTGTGGACATGATTACCTCACTGTGCCCTTGTGTACATGATTAACACACTGTCCTTGTTTAAATGATTACCACACTGTGTTCTTGTGTACATGATTACCTAACTGTGTCCTTGTGTACGTGATTACCACACTGTGTACTGTCCATGTGCACATGATTACCACCCTGTGTCCCTTTGTACATGATTACAACACTGTGTCCTTGTGTGTCCATGTGCACATGATTACTACACTGTATCCTTGTGTACATGATTACGACACTGTGTCCTTGTGTCCATGATAACAACACTGTGCCCTTGTGTACATGAGTACCACACTGTGTCCTTATTTACATGATTACCACACTTTGTCCTTGTGTACATGATTACCCCACTGTGTCCTTGTGTATATGATTGCCACACTGTGTCCGTGTGCACATGATTACCACACTGTGTCCTTGTGTACATAATTACCACACTGTGTCCTTGTGTACATGATTACCACACTGTGTCCTTGTGTACATGATTACCACACTGTCCTTGTGTACATGATTACCACACTTTGTCCTTGTGTACATGATTACCTCACTGTGTCCTTGTGTACATGATTTGCTCACTGTGTCCTTGTGTACATGATTACCACACTGTGTCCTTGTGTACATGATTACCACACTGTGTCCATCCTTTTTATGTAGGAAAACTGTTGAACTTAAAACTTTTATACACTCACATGCTGGTATGGATTTGCCGAGATGAAATAGCTTAGATATATTTCCAACAAGCTGTTGATAGAGCTTTAGTTAGTTGAACATGTTATCTATGTGATGGATTATAATGTTCTTACTTGTGCAATGTCATAATAATGTTGATCATTGATGGATTTTATTGTAAAAGACTTATGACAAATTAACAGTTTTTTTTTGTTTTTTTTTATTTTTTTTTATTTTTTTTTACTTTTATGCAAGATTGGAATAAAATCATTTCAATATTTCCCTTTATTTCCAGAAAATGGTAAAGAAATCTTGTCAATGAATGAAGTCCTGTTATATTTGCTGCGATGCTCTAAACCGTTGTTGGAGGAGACAGAACTTGCCCAGATATTGAAGTCTGACCAGCACGACTGGGAAAATTTCCTGGATGAAATACGTGGAATGGTAGTCACCTATCCTGGAATGGTCAGTAGTAGCTGATGAAAGGAAGGATTAGGATGTGGGATAGAGGGGACCGGGGACTTGGAATAAATAATATTATCAATATGGATATCAACTGCCTTGCAGTATTGTGTAGTTGTTAATATTCTTGTGATATATATACTTCTCATTGTTTTGTAACACAAATTTCTCCACCATAGTTGAAACCTTTCGCAGCAAATATGATAAAATGATGACAAGATTAAAATCGAAATTAAGAACATGTAAGGAGTATGGTACAACAGTTATAGTGTGATGGAGAGATGGTACAACAGTTATAGTGTGATGGAGAGATGGTACAACAGTTATAGTTTGATGGAGAGATGGTACAACAGTTATAGTTTGATGGAGAGATGGTACAACAGTTATAGTTTGATGGAGAGATGGTACAACAGTTATAGTTTGATGGAGAGATGGTACAACAGTTATAGTTTGATGGAGAGATGGTACAACAGTTATAGTTTGATGGAGAGATGGTACAACAGTTATAGTTTGATGGAGAGATGGTACAACAGTTATAGTTTGATGGAGAGATGGTACAACAGTTATAGTTTGATGGAGAGATGGTACAACAGTTATAGTTTGATGGAGAGATGGTACAACAGTGATAGTTTGATGGAGAGATGGTACAACAGTTATAGTTTGATGGAGAGATGGTACAACAGTTATAGTTTGATGGAGAGATGGTACAACAGTTATAGTTTGATGGAGAGATGGTACAACAGTTATAGTTTGATGGAGAGATGGTACAACAGTTATAGTTTGATGGAGAGATGGTACAACAGTGATAGTTTGATGGAGAGATGGTACAACAGTGATAGTTTGATGGAGAGATGGTACAACAGTGATAGTTTGATGGAGAGATGGTACAACAGTGATAGTTTGATGGAGAGATGGTACAACAGTGATAGTTTGATGGAGAGATGGTACAACAGTGATAGTTTGATGGAGAGATGGTACAACAGTTATAGTTTGATGGAGAGATGGTACAACAGTGATAGTTTGATGGAGAAATTAATTTGGTTACATTTGCTATCTGAACTAGTTCCCCAAACTCGGAACTTTCTTCATGGCCAGCTATTAGCCAGTGTGAAAACTGTAATAAAAGCAGAGGTCAACACTGCAGATCAAGTACAGGTGCAAAAGAAGTTTGACATTTTCATATCAAATCAGTGTACAATTTCCTGTCACTTGAATGCAAACTTTCATTTTATCCCCAAAAAATTAGACAGTTTTGAAATTTTTGTTTTGTCAAGATTTTAAATTATTTTGAATATAAAACTGACGCTAAGTCTGATATGTAAGAGTTGATAACTTTAGATTAAAATGAAATATTAGTGATACATGTGAGATGACAGGATATGAAAACCACTAATAATCAACATACAAAACTAATCACTTAACAAAAAATAAAATTATTAATAAAAAAAATAATACTTAATAACTAAATAATAAACAAAGAAAATTAATTTAAAAACAAAATGAAAAATGACTCCCTTCTCATTTAAAGTATTATAATGTTCACTTAAATGCAGACAAATAAATTTTCTCCTGGATTATACCAAGTTTCTGTGTGTTATCATAATGATAATACTTGTAGATTATTATTGACTGTTGTAACAGAAGCCTAGCTCCCTGAGGATTATAATACTTGTAGATTATTATTGACTGTTGTAACAGAAGCCTAGCTCCCTGAGGATTATAATACTTGTAGATTATTATTGACTGTTGTAACAGAAGCCTAGCTCCCTGAGGATTATAATACTTGTAGATTATTATTGACTGTTGTAACAGAAGCCTAGCTCCCTGAGGATTATAATACTTGTAGATTATTATTGACTGTTGTAACAGAAGCCTAGCTCCCTGAGGATTGACCAGTTGGACAGACAGCAGTCAGAAACAGATGTGATCACTTATCCCCTCATTATCCACTTTGGTATTCGACCAGCTCAGCTCAGCTACGCTGGTGACCCCTAGTAAGTGTTGTGTTCATGAAGATATGCTGACGGCTCTAGTAAGTGGTGTGCTCTGTTCAGCCAAGCTTGGTACCCTTAGTAAGTGGTGTGGTCAGTTCATGATCAGCCAAGCTTGGTAACCTTAGTAAGTGGTGTGCTCAGTTCATCAAAGCTAGATATCCTTAGTAAGTGGTGAGCTTTGTTCAGGTGTACTGGTGATCCCCTAGAATTAAATTGAGCCCCACCCAGGCATCTGTCAGTTCATTCTGGGAAATGGCTTCAAAACCATTCCATGTATCTGTACGAAAGTTTGTAAATTAATTAGGATGCATTTGAGCATACCAGTGTTTTACTGTTCATATAATATTTCTGTACATTAGGCGTTAGCCATAATATACCCATGTTCTGTTGATGGCTGCATAGCAGGCCGAAACCTGTAGACAGTAAATCACACAAATCGTCCTTGTGGTGTTGAGATTCCTTTATTTCTCTATTATGTTTTATTAGTAAGGAGCTCTATAGAGTCCTTTCACAGATCCACCCTAGGACACCACCACAAAGTTCTACATCAGCAGTGTTTGATCACACCATTATTATTAAACAGGACATATGTATTTTGAAAGACAGAAGGATAAGAATCTAGTGTTGTATACAGTATTCTATAGGACGTTCTCATGCCTATATTTGAGAGTATTTACTTGAGGAAGTATTTATTGAGTGTTTGTATTGAACAGCTACCAGAAGACTTGGAAACAGTATGTGAAGTTTAAGCACCTCCTGAACAGTAAACCCAAGGTGACCTTCTCCGACAAACAAAAGTTAGAGCAGAAGGAAAGTTACCTCCAGGAGCTCCGTACCAAGAGGTATGACAACGAAACTTTGTTGTTCTTTATGTCTACACAAGGAAGTATCAGGACCTTCAATGGTAAACAGGTTTACATCAACTTGTGAGCTTGTTGTCAGAATCTCTATAAATAGTAAGTGTATAAACTTGTAAACTGTACTCTATATAGGATTATTTGTGTCTTAGACAGCCAGGTACTCACCTATGCTCTATATAGGATTATTTCTGTCTTAGACAGCCAGGTACTCACCTATACTCTATATAGGATTATTTTTGTCTTAGACAGCCAGGTACTCACCTATGCTCTATAGAGGATTATTTCTGTCTTAGACAGCCAGGTACTCACCTATTCTCTATATAGGATTATTTCTGTCTTAGACAGACAGGGACTCACTTATACTCTATATAGGATTATTTCTGTCTTAGACAACCAGGTACTCACCTATACTCTATATAGGATTATTTGTGTCTTAGACAGCCAGGTACTCACCTATGCTCTATATAGGATTATTTCTGTCTTAGACAGCCAGGTACTCACTTATACTCTATATAGGATTATTTCTGTCTTAGACAGCGAGGTATTCACCTATACTCTGTAGAGGATTATTTCTGTCTTAGACAGCCAGGTACTCACCTATACTCTATATAGGATTATTTCTGTCTTAGACAGCGAGGTATTCACCTATACTCTATACAGGATTATTTCTGTCTTAGACAGCCAGGTACCCACCTATGCTCTATATAGGATTATTTCTGTCTTAAACAGCCAGGTATTCACCTATACTCTATATAGGATTATTTCTGTCTTATACAGCCAGGTACTCACCTATACTCTATATAGGATTATTTCTGTCTTAGACAGCAGGGTACTCACCTATGCGCTATATAGGATTATTTCTGTCTTGAGACAGTCAGGTACTCACCTATACTCTATATAGGATTATTTCTGTCCTAGACAGCCAGGTACTCACCTATACTCTGTAGAGGATTATTTCTGTCTTAGACAGCGAGGTACTCACCTATACTCTATATAGGATTATTTGTGTCTTAGACAGCGAGGTACTCACCTATACTCTGTAGAGGATTATTTCTGTCTTAGACAGCCAGGTACTCACCTATACTCTATATAGGATTATTTGTGTCTAAGACAGCGGGATACTCACCTATACTCTTTAGAGGATTATTTCTGTCTTTGACAGCGAGGTACTCACCTATACTCTATATAGGATTATTTCTGTCTTAGACAGCCATGTACTCACCTATACTCTGTGGAGGATTATTTCTGTCTGAGACAGCGAGGTACTCACCTATACTCTGTAGAGGATTATTTCTGTCTTAGACAGCCAGGTACTCACCTATACTCTGTGGAGGATTATTTCTGTCTGAGACAGCGAGGTACTCACCTATACTCTGTAGAGGATTATTTGTGTCTTAGACAGTCAGGCACTCACCTATACTCTATATAGGATTATTTGTGTCTTAGACAGCGGGGGACTCACCTATACTCTGTAGAGGATTATTTGTGTCTTAGACAGCCAGGCACTCACCTATACTCTGTGGTGGATTTTTTCTGTCTTAGACAGCGAGGTACTCACATATACTCTGTAGAGGATTATTTGTGTCTTAGACAGTCAGGCACTCACCTATACTCTATATAGGATTATTTGTGTCTTAGACAGCGGGGTACTCACCTATACTCTGTAGAGGATTATTTATGTCTTAGACAGCCAGGTACTCACCTATACTCTGTAAAGGATTATTTCTGTCTTAGACAGCCAGGTACTCGCCTATACTCTATATAGGATTATTTCTGTCTTAGACAGCCAGGTACCCACCTATGCTCTATATAGGATTATTTGTGTCTTAGACAGCCAGGTACTCACCTATACTCTGTGGTGGATTTTTTCTGTCTTAGACAGCGAGGTACTCACCTATACTCTGTAGAGGATTATTTGTGTCTTAGACAGCCAGGTACTCGCCTGTACTCTATATAGGATTATTTCTGTCTTAGACAGTCAGGTACTCACCTATACTCTATAGAGGATTATTTCTGTCTTAGACAGCCAGGTACTCGCCTGTACTCTATATAGGATTATTTCTGTCTTAGACAGCCAGGTACTCACCTATACTCTATATAGGATTATTTCTGTCTTTGACAGCCAGGTACTCACTCTGTGTCGCTTTGTTTCAGCACCATGAAGAGGGAGGTCACCGTGGAGATTAGTAGTGAGGGTTTCCTGAGGACCGGGATTAAGTCAGATATAACCCAGGTCACTATTTCCTCTTGTTTTTGACAATCAGCTGTAATGCTGGAGTGTGCTGATATGAACATGATTCACTCCTAATACTTAATAACTTATACTTGCATTAAACCTTTATAAATACATTAAGTTGTATATTTTGTATATTTTATTTTGGGCCTAACACTGGGTCAAATTATTTTTCTGTCTGCATTAAACTTAATGTTGCATATATACTTACACAAAAGAGATAAATAGAACAGATGTTGGATTGCTATCCATCTTCTCCAAGTAAGATATATATTTATATATATATATATAAAAAAATGTTCAATTTTATTTTGTACTTTGTCCCCAGCATGCCATGCTGATCCCTGTGTTGCTAGGGCACCTGAGGTTCCACCAATGCCTGTCTGTGTTGGAGAAAACTCTCGACTACAGGTTTAACGACAGATCACTCTTACAGGTCTGGACAAAGGGAGACCACTTACATATTTATTTATTTATTTTTAGGTCACCTGAGCTTTGCTCAAGTGACCTATGCTTATCGCTTTCCGTCCGTCGTCGTCCGTCATGTGTAAACTAACTTTTTACATTTTCAATTTCTTCTCAAGAACCAGTGGATGGATTTTTTTCAAACTTGGTCAGAATCATCCTTGGTAGATGAGGATACAAAATTATAAAATTGGGATTCCTACCCCAACCCCTGGGGCCAGGGCGGGGCCCCAAAGGGAAAATTAACCAATATTTCCAAAATTTTCTCCTCCAGAAAGAAAATCATCAGGGGCTTTATTTAAATCGTAAATTTCAGGACCCCGAGCTATCCGTTCTCCCTTGGGGAGGGGGTAAAGTTTACTATAGTTTATATAGGGAAATAACACTTTTGGGTATATTTTATCCATTTTCAGCAGAAAATTACTCAAACTTAGTCAGAATCATCTTTGGTGAATGAGAGTATTACTTTGTAAAATTGGGATTCCTGCCCCATACCCAGGGGCTAGGGCGGGGCCCCAAAGGGTACATTTACCAATATTTTAAAATTCTTATCCTTTGATGACATGACAAGTATTGTATTTCACTTAGTTTACATGCTGATTTCCACATCACATCTAAACAATAAAATAAAGCTACCAGTACCTATAATATAACTCAGGTGACCATGAAGGCCCTTGGGCCTCTTGTTCTTATGGATTATAAATGATAGATTACTCTTTGTTAATCGTTTTTATGATACTATTACATCTGGACAAGCTGGTGGCTGGTTTCATTCCCTAACATCCCTGGCAGCCAGTGTGTTAACTCACAGATATATTGTGGGTCTCTTCAGTTTTGCTGGGACAAATATCTTTTGTCCTGTACTTAAACCTGATGTTTATGTTTCATGCTATACCACTTAATGTATTTGGATTTAATGTCACGGTGGTTTAATGTCACGGTGGTTTAATGTCATGATGGTTTAATGTCATGGTGGTTTCTGAAATTGCAAATACTGAACTTTGTTAAAACCAGAATAAAGCAAAAATAGGACTCTTTCAATAACTAAAAGTGCCATACAGTACTACAAAAGACATTTTGTCCATCTTGGATTTTTACCTCTTTTGTCCACATTTATTCAACATAAGTAAATATTTACCTGATATTTATAATCTCATAGAAGTGAGCTAATTCAGTGTGTGGGAGAAATTTACTACTTAAAGAGGCCAATTTACAGAGGAAGTACATAACACATTATAACTGTCTGGTTTTGTTTACAGTTGGCCTTGACCCACACCTCATACAAGGTCAACTATGGAACAAACCCCGACCACGCCCGCAACTCTCTGTCAAACTGTGGAAGGAGGCAGTTAGAGTATGGCGATCGTAAGATTCATTACGCCCACACTCGCAAACGGGGTAAGTAAACAAACATGTTGTGTATAGCTGTTAGTTGGGGCTCGTTTTAGTTCCACAAATATGTCTTAGCTGAGCTGGTAGAAATTTCCCCTAATATATGCAGTAAACAAAATATGAATCTTATGCGAGTAAGTTATTCTCAGACCAGAGTCTTTCCTTGTAATAAACTAACTTAAGTATCAGAATGTAGCTATTCTCAAATATGGGAATGTTAATCATTAATCAAGAGAAGATTATAAACACAAGTTTAAACTAGACAAATATGTACATGTTTTTCTTGTTCTTTTACTTAGCAAACATATTATCATTAAACATAAGTTCTCTGGATTTTTTTTATAACAAGTTCCATTTATTTATTTTTTTTAAATCCAGAGAACTTATGTTTGATGATGAAATGAATAATTCAGATAACACATTTTAAAACATTTTGAAGTGAACGTATGTGACAGTGTAGATTTTTACACTCAATGATAAACCTTTCCTACATTACCAGTAATAAGACCGGTGTAAACCCACCACCTTGTTAAATGATATAACAAGTACGGGTTATGTCTAGAAGTAAGTTTGTTTAGTACTGATGTACCCCTTTGAAGGACTGAACTGCTATGGCTGATCACAGGTAAAGTGAGTTGTTTAGAGGGTTTTCTGTTGGCTGTTGACAGGTATAAACATCCTCTTAAACATCATGTCTCGGATGGGTAACAAGGAGGAGTTGTCCTCGGAGATCCCACACAATGAGCGACTTGAGTTTCTCGGGGATGCCGTAGTGGAGTTCATCACAAGGTGCAGTAGAGTCCCAACCCTTCCACCATTAAACATACATTCTACTTTCTTGTTCTGTGGTAGATCAACATACATGATATCCCTTTATTACACTTAGTCTAGCCATTACTCCTCCTTTGGTATTGGATAGCGCCTGACATCAATATTAACATACACGATATCCCTTTATTACACTTAGTCTAGCCATTACTCCTCCGTTGGTATTGGATAGCGCCTGACATCAATATTAACATACACAATATCCCTTTATTACACTTAGTCTAGCCATTACTCCTCCGTTGGTATTGGATAGCTCCTCACCTCAATATTAACATACACGATATGCCTTTATTACACTTAGTCTAGCCATTACTCCTCAGTTGGTATTGGATAGCGCCTCACATCAATGTTAACATACACGATATCCCTTTATTCCACTTAGTCTAGCCATTACTCCTCCGTTGGTATCGGATAGCGCCTCACATCAATATTAACATACACGGTATCCCTTTATTACACTTAGTCTAGCCTTAACTCCTCCGTTGGTATTGGATAGCGCCTCACATCAATATTAACATAAACGATATGCCTTTATTACACTTAGTCTAGCCATTACTCCTCCGTTGGTATTGGATAGCTCCTCACCTCAATATTAACATACACGATATGCCTTTATTACACTTAGTCTAGCCATTACTCCTCCGTTGGTATTGGATAGCTCCTCACCTCAATATTAACATACACGATATGCCTTTATTACACTTAGTCTAGCCATTACTCCTCCGTTGGTATCGGATAGCGCCTCACATCAATATTAACATACACGGTATCCCTTTATTACACTTAGTCTAGCCTTAACTCCTCCGTTGGTATTGGATAGCGCCTCACATCAATATTAACATACACGATATCCCTTTATTACACTTAGTCTAGCCTTAACTCCTCCGTTGGTATTGGATAGCGCCTCACATCAATATTAACATACACGATATGCCTTTATTACACTTAGTCTAGCCATTACTCCTCCGTTGGTATTGGATAGCTCCTCACATCAATAATACTACTGTACACAGATGGTTCAGTGTTACATTTCTCCGCGGCAGTGATGCACTGATGACATTGTTGTTGTAGTTAGAGTAGCTCTTATTGGCGTTAAATCGTATATCATGTGTTCTACACATTTTTTTGATTTTGTGTTATCATTTTTGTAGTATTGTGTCATGTTTTCATGTGAGTTACTTAAATGATTATATTATCATGTTAAAATGTTTTAAATTTAGTTTGAAAATTCACTTTAAAAAAACCTTACCATTTGTTGAGTAGTTTTGTAGTTATACGTGTGACATATATAATTGGTAATCTATTGCAGTGTCCACCTGTTCTATATGTGTGACATATATAATTGGTAATCTATTACAGTGTCCACCTGTTCTATATGTGTGACATATATAATTGGTAATCTATTGCAGTGTCCACCTGTTCTATATGTGTGACATATATAATTGGTAATCTATTGCAGTGTCCACCTGTTCTATATGTGTGACATATATAATTGGTAATCTATTGCAGTGTCCACCTGTTCTATATGTGTGACATATATAATTGGTAATCTATTGCAGTGTCCACCTGTTCTATATGTGTGACATATATAATTGGTAATCTATTGCAGTGTCCACCTGTTCTATATGTGTGACATATATAATTGGTAATCTATTGCAGTGTCCACCTGTTCTATATGTGTGACATATATAATTGGTAATCTATTGCAGTGTCCACCTGTTCTATATGTGTGACATATATAATTGGTAATCTATTGCAGTGTCCACCTGTTCTATATGTGTGACATATATAATTGGTAATCTATTGCAGTGTCCACCTGTTCTATATGTGTGACATATATAATTGGTAATCTATTGCAGTGTCCACCTGTTCTATATGTGTGACATATATAATTGGTAATCTATTGCAGTGTCCACCTGTTCTATATGTGTGACATATATAATTGGTAATCTATTGCAGTGTCCACCTGTTCTATATGTGTGACATATATAATTGGTAATCTATTGCAGTGTCCACCTGTTCTATATGTGTGACATATATAATTGGTAATCTATTGCAGTGTCCACCTGTTCTATATGTGTGACATATATAATTGGTAATCTATTGCAGTGTCCACCTGTTCTATATGTGTGACATATATAATTGGTAATCTATTGCAGTGTCCACCTGTTCTATATGTGTGACATATATAATTGGTAATCTATTGCAGTGTCCACCTGTTCTATATGTGTGACATATATAATTGGTAATCTATTGCAGTGTCCACCTGTTCTATATGTGTGACATATATAATTGGTAATCTATTGCAGTGTCCACCTGTTCTATATGTGTGACATATATAATTGGTAATCTATTGCAGTGTCCACCTGTTCTATATGTGTGACATATATAATTGGTAATCTATTGCAGTGTCCACCTGTTCTATATGTGTGACATATATAATTGGTAATCTATTGCAGTGTCCACCTGTTCTATATGTGTGACATATATAATTGGTAATCTATTGCAGTGTCCACCTGTTCTATATGTGTGACATATATAATTGGTAATCTATTGCAGTGTCCACCTGTTCTATATGTGTGACATATATAATTGGTAATCTATTGCAGTGTCCACCTGTTCTATATGTGTGACATATATAATTGGTAATCTATTGCAGTGTCCACCTGTTCTATATGTGTGACATATATAATTGGTAATCTATTGCAGTGTCCACCTGTTCTATATGTGTGACATATATAATTGGTAATCTATTGCAGTGTCCACCTGTTCTATATGTGTGACATATATAATTGGTAATCTATTGCAGTGTCCACCTGTTCTATATGTGTGACATATATAATTGGTAATCTATTGCAGTGTCCACCTGTTCTATATGTGTGACATATATAATTGGTAATCTATTGCAGTGTCCACCTGTTCCATATGTTTCCCTGGCTAGAGGAAGGTGGACTGACCACATACAGAGCCGCTATTGTCCAGAATCAACAATTAGCTGTACTGGCGAAGGTCACTATCAAACTGAAATAATCAGGCTCTTTACAGTAGAATACCATTCTCAGCACTTTCTTACCTTTTATTAGCTCACCTGGCCGAAGGCCAAGTGATGAGCTTATGCCGTGGTGCTGCGTCCATCGTCCCTCTGTCTGGTGTCAACTTTTTACTCTAAACAATTTCTTCTCAGTAACCAAATGGCCTAGGATGATGATAATTGGCCAGTAGCATGCTGGGATGAATGACCTTCATCCATTTTCAAGGTCACAGGGGTCAAATATGTTAAAAACCTTTAAACAACTTCTCCTGAATAACCAAGAGACCTATAAGGTGATGATATTTGGCCAATAATATGCTGGGATAAAGGGCTACCAAGTTTGTTCAAATGAGTGACCTTGACTTATATCAAGGTCACAGGGGTCAAATATGGTTAAACCTTTTAACAACTTCTTCTGAATAACTAATATACCTAGGGTGTTGATATTTGGTCATTAACATCCTGGGATGAATGGCTACTAAGTTTGTTCAAATTAAGGGGTCAATTAGGGTTGAAAACTGTAACTTTATAATCAGAAAGACCAGGGTGATGATATTTGGCCAATAACATGCTGGGATGAAGGGCTACCAAGTTTGTTCAAATGAATGACCTTCCCCAATTTGCATGGTCACAGGGGTAAAATATGTTGAAACCTTTAAACAACTTCTGAATAATCTTAGGGTCAAGGATAATGATATTTGGCCAGAAGCATGCTGGTATGAAAGGCTACAAAGTCTGTTCAACTTAATGCCCTTGTTTGACTTTCAAGGTCAATTGAGTCACATGTTGCAATCTTTTAATAGATTCATTTGAATCGAATACTAGTATTCTCCCTCATTTTTTTTTTAACCATCACATTAAATAAAATTGATATAGCTTGAGAAAGTTTGTACAAAAGAAGCCATGTTTTAATTGGTAACTGCTACTAGCCCTGAGTTGGTTGTGGTAGATATGGGCTTGATTGGTAGCTATTACTAGCCCTGAGGTGGTTGTGGTAGGTATGGACTTGATTGGTATCTACTACTAGCCCTGAGGTGGTTTTGGTAGGGATGGATTTGATTGGTAACTACTACTAGCCCTGGGGTGGTTGTGGTAGGTACAGACTTGATTGGGAACTACTACTAGCCCTGAGGTGGTTGTGGTAGGGACAGACATGATTGGGAACTACTAATAGTCCTGAGGTGGTTGTGGTAGGGATAGACTTGATTGGTATTAACTACTAGCCCTGAGGTGGTTATGGTAGGTATGGACTTGATTGGTAGCTACTACTAGCCCTGAGGTGGTTATGGTAGGGACAGACTTGATTGGTAACTACTACTAGCCCTTAGGTGGTTTTGGTAGGTACGGACTTGATTGGTATTTAATACTAGCCCTGAGGTGGTTTTGGTAGGTATAGATTTGATTGGTAACTACTACTAGCCCTGGGGTGGTTGTGGTAGGTACAGACTTGATTGGTAAATACTACTAGCCCTGAGGTGGTTGTGGTAGGCACAAACTTGATTGGTAACTACTACTAGCCCTGAGGTGGTTGTGGTAGGTATAGACTTGATTGGTAGCTACTACTAGCTCTGAGGTGGCTGTGGTAGGAATGGACTTGATTGGTAACTACTACTAGCCCTGAGGTGGTTTTGGTAGGTATGGATTTGATTGGTAACTACTACTAGCCCTGAGGTGGTTGTGATAGGTATATACTTGATTGGTAACTACTACTAGCCCTGAGGTGGTTTTGGTAGGTACGGACTTGATTGGTATTTACTACTAGCCCTGAGGTGGTTTTAGTAGGTACAGACTTGATTGGTAACTACTACTAGCCCTGGGGTGGTTGTGGTAGGTACATACTTGATTGGTAACTACTACTAGCCCTGAGGTGGTTGTGGTAGGAATGGACTTTATTGGTATTTACTACTAACCCTGAGGTGGTTGTGGTAGGTACAGACTTGATTGGTAACTACTACTTGCCCTGAGGTGGTTGTGGTAGGTATAGACTTGATTGGTAGCTACTACTAGCCCTGAGGTGGTTTTGGTAGGTACAGACTTGATTGGTAGCTACTACTAGCTCTGAGGTGGCTGTGGTAGGAATGGACTTGATTGGTATTTACTACTAACCCTGAGGTGGTTGTGGTAGGTATAGACTTGATTGGTAACTACTACTAGCTCTGAGGTGGTTGTGGTAGGTACAGACTTGATTGGTAACTACTACTAGCCCTGAGGTGGTTTTGGTAGGTATAGACTTGATTGGTATTAACTACTATCCCTGAGGTGGTTGTGGTAGGTATGGATTTGATTGGTATTAACTACTATCCCTGAGGTGGTTGTGGTAGGTATAGACTTGATTAGTAGCTACTACTATCCCTGAGGTGGTTGTGGTAGGTATGGATTTGATTGGTATTAACTACTATCCCTGAGGTGGTTGTGGTAGGTATAGACTTGATTGGTAACTACTACTAGCCCTGAGGTGGTTGTGGTAGGTATGGACTTGATTGGTAACTACTACTAGCCCTGAGGTGGTTGTGGTAGGTATGGACTTGATTGGTAACTACTACTAGCCCTGAGGTGGTTGTGGTAGGTATGGACTTGATTGGTAACTACTACTAGCCCTGAGGTGGTTGTGGTAGGTATGGACTTGATTGGTAACTACTACTAGCCCTGAGGTGGTTGTGGTAGGTATGGACTTGATTGGTAACTACTACTAGCCCTGAGGTGGTTGTGGTAGGTATGGACTTGATTGGTAACTACTACTAGCCCTGAGGTGGTTGTGGTAGGTATGGACTTGATTGGTAACTACTACTAGCCCTGAGGTGGTTGTGGTAGGTATGGACTTGATTGGTAACTACTACTAGCCCTGAGGTGGTTGTGGTAGGTATGGACTTGATTGGTAACTACTACTAGCCCTGAGGTGGTTGTGGTAGGTATGGACTTGATTGGTAACTACTACTAGCCCTGAGGTGGTTGTGGTAGGTATGGACTTGATTGGTAACTACTACTAGCCCTGAGGTGGTTGTGGTAGGTATGGACTTGATTGGTAACTACTACTAGCCCTGAGGTGGTTGTGGTAGGTATGGACTTGATTGGTAACTACTACTAGCCCTGAGGTGGTTGTGGTAGGTATGGACTTGATTGGTAACTACTACTAGCCCTGAGGTGGTTGTGGTAGGTATGGACTTGATTGGTAACTACTACTAGCCCTGAGGTGGTTGTGGTAGGTATGGACTTGATTGGTAACTACTACTAGCCCTGAGGTGGTTGTGGTAGGTATGGACTTGATTGGTAACTACTACTAGCCCTGAGGTGGTTGTGGTAGGTATGGACTTGATTGGTAACTACTACTAGCCCTGAGGTGGTTGTGGTAGGTATGGACTTGATTGGTAACTACTACTAGCCCTGAGGTGGTTGTGGTAGGTATGGACTTGATTGGTAACTACTACTAGCCCTGAGGTGGTTGTGGTAGGTATGGACTTGATTGGTAACTACTACTAGCCCTGAGGTGGTTGTGGTAGGTATGGACTTGATTGGTAACTACTACTAGCCCTGAGGTGGTTGTGGTAGGTATGGACTTGATTGGTAACTACTACTAGCCCTGAGGTGGTTGTGGTAGGTATGGACTTGATTGGTAACTACTACTAGCCCTGAGGTGGTTGTGGTAGGTATGGACTTGATTGGTAACTACTACTAGCCCTGAGGTGGTTGTGGTAGGTATGGACTTGATTGGTAACTACTACTAGCCCTGAGGTGGTTGTGGTAGGTATGGACTTGATTGGTAACTACTACTAGCCCTGAGGTGGTTGTGGTAGGTATGGACTTGATTGGTAACTACTACTAGCCCTGAGGTGGTTGTGGTAGGTATGGACTTGATTGGTAACTACTACTAGCCCTGAGGTGGTTGTGGTAGGTATGGACTTGATTGGTAACTACTACTAGCCCTGAGGTGGTTGTGGTAGGTATGGACTTGATTGGTAACTACTACTAGCCCTGAGGTGGTTGTGGTAGGTATGGACTTGATTGGTAACTACTACTAGCCCTGAGGTGGTTGTGGTAGGTATGGACTTGATTGGTAACTACTACTAGCCCTGAGGTGGTTGTGGTAGGTATGGACTTGATTGGTAACTACTACTAGCCCTGAGGTGGTTGTGGTAGGTATGGACTTGATTGGTAACTACTACTAGCCCTGAGGTGGTTGTGGTAGGTATGGACTTGATTGGTAACTACTACTAGCCCTGAGGTGGTTGTGGTAGGTATGGACTTGATTGGTAACTACTACTAGCCCTGAGGTGGTTGTGGTAGGTATGGACTTGATTGGTAACTACTACTAGCCCTGAGGTGGTTGTGGTAGGTATGGACTTGATTGGTAACTACTACTAGCCCTGAGGTGGTTGTGGTAGGTATGGACTTGATTGGTAACTACTACTAGCCCTGAGGTGGTTGTGGTAGGTATGGACTTGATTGGTAACTACTACTAGCCCTGAGGTGGTTGTGGTAGGTATAGACTTGATTGGTAACTACTACTAGCCCTGAGGTGGTTGTGGTAGGTATGGACTTGGTTGGTAACTACTACTAGCCCTGAGGTGGTTGTGGTAGGTATGGACTTGATTGGTAACTACTACTAGCCCTGAGGTGGTTGTGGTAGGTATAGACTTGATTGGTAACTACTACTAGCCCTGAGGTGGTTATGGTAGGTATAGACTTGACTCATGTTCCACAAAACATTAAATAATACCATTATGAGGTCGCTTTCGTAAAAAATACCATAATAAGGTTGCTATTGTTTTTTTGTTTTTTTAGATTTGCACGGAAAGTCAGACCATATGTAATTTGTTTCATATTGAGTGACTTTTGAATGCCCATTATATAATACTTACATGTGTCTGATCAGCTAGTCTTCTGTTAACCGTTTCAACTTCTTTATCCAGAAGCTCACCCTACAGAACTTTATGCTGTATGCCCATGGCCCAGACCTCTGTCACGAGTCCGACCTCAAACATGCCATGGCCAACTGTTTTGAGGCTCTCATGGGTAAGCAAACTTTATAGTTAACTTAATCTTTTTTACACAGGTATCAAGTTGTCTCCAACTAAACTACCATGATTGTGAAATACAGTGTTTACTGTACCAACATTGAGTTACAAAATCTTGATTTTAAGGAATTTTCTCATTAACATGTATTTCTTTAATTGATACAGTCTTTATTGAAGTCATTATCTAGGTCCCCTTGAGTTAGTTATAACCATGTTGTATTGTAGAGAACTAATGACTAGGTCCCCTTGGGTTAGTTATAAACATGTTTTACTGTAGTGAACTATCTACTAGGTTCCCTGGGGTTTGTTATAACCATGTTTACTGTAGAGAACTAATGACTAGGTCCCCTTGGGTTAGTTATAACCATGTTTTACTGTAGTGAACTATCTACTAGGTTCCCTGGGGTTTGTTATAACCATGTTTACTGTAGATAACTAATTACTAGGTCCCCTGGGGTTTGTTATAAACATGTTTTACTGTAGTTAACTATCTACTAGGTTCCCTGGGGTTTGTTATAACCATGTTTACTGTAGATAACTAATTACTAGGTCCCCTTGGGTTTGTTATAACCATGGTTTACTGTAGAGAACTAATTACTAGGTCCCCTGGGGTTTATTATAACCATGGTTTACTGTAGATAACTAATTACTAGGTCCCCTTGGGATTGTTATAACCATGGTTTACTGTAGAGAACTAATTACTAGGTCCCCTGGGGTTTGTTATAACCATGTTTTATGTAGAGAACTAATGACTACGTTCCCTGGGGTTTGTTATCACCATGTTTTACTGCAGAGAACTAATTACTAGGTCCCCCTGGGTATGTTATCACCATGTTTCACTGCAGAGAACTAATTACTAAGTCCCCTGGGGTTTGTTATTACCATGTTTTACTGTGGAGAACTAATTACTAGGTCCCCTGGGGTTTGTTATAAACATGTTTACTGTAGAGAACTAATTACTAGGTCTCCTGGGGTTTGTTATCACCATGTTTTACTGTAGAGAACTAATTACTAGGTCCCCTGGGGTTAGTTATAACCATGTTTTACTGTAGAGAACTAATTACTAAGTCCCCTTGGGTTAGTTATAACCATGTTTAATGTAGAGAACTAATTACTAAGTCACCTTGGGTTTGTTATCACCATGTTTTACTGTAGAGAACTAATTACTAGGTCCCCTGGGGTTAGTTATAACCATGTTTTACTGTAGAGAACTAATTACTAAGTCCCCTTGGGTTAGTTATAACCATGTTTAATGTAGAGAACTAATTACTAAGTCCCCTTGGGTTAGTTATAACCATGTTTAATGTAGAGAACTAATTACTAAGTCACCTTGGGTTTGTTATCACCATGTTTTACTGTAGAGAACTAATTACTAAGTCCCCTTGGGTTTGTTATAACCATGTTTTACTATAGATAACTAATGACTAGGTCCCCTTGGTTTTTTATCACCATGTTTACTGTAGGGAACTAATTACTAGGTTCCCTGGGGTTTGTTATAACCATGTTTACTATAGATAACTAATTACTAGGTTCCCTGGGGTTTGTTTTAACCATGTTTAATGTAGAGAACTAATTACTAAGTCCCCTTGGGTCTGTTATAGCCATGTTTACTGTAGAGAACTAATTACGAGGTTCCCTGGTGTTTGTTTTAACCATGTTTACTATAGATAACTAATTACTAGCTCCCCTGGGGTTTGTTATAACCATGTTTTACTATAGATAACTAATGACTAGGTCCCCTTGGTTTTTTTATCACCATGTTTACTGTAGAGAACTAATTACGAGGTTCCCTGGGGTTTGTTTTAACCATGTTTACTATAGATAACTAATTACTAGGTCCACTGGGGTTTATTATAACCATATTTTACTGTAGATAACTAATTACTAGGTCCCCTGGGGTTTGTTATAACCATGTTTTACTATAGATAACTAATGACTAGGTCCCCTTGGTTTTTTATCACCATGTTTACTGTAGAGAACTAATTACGAGGTTCCCTGGTGTTTGTTTTAACCATGTTTACTATAGATAACTAATTACTAGGTCCCCCTGGGTATGTTATCACCATGTTTACTATAGATAACTAATTACTAGGTCCCCTGGGGTTTATTATAACCATATTTTACTGTAGATAACTAATTACTAGGTCCCCTGGGGTTTGTTATAACCATGTTTACTGAAGATAACTAATTACTAAGTCCCCTGGGGTTTGTAATAACCATGTTTACTGTAGAGAACTAATTACTAGGTCCCCTGGGTATGTTATCACCATGTTTTACTGCAGAGAACTAATTACTAAGTCCCCTGGGGTTTGTTATAACCATGTTTTACTGTGGATAACTAATTACTAGGTCCCCTTGGGTTTGTTATAACCATGTTTACTGTAGAGAACTAATTACTAGGTCCCCTGGGGTTTATTATAACCATGTTTTACTGTAGATTACTAATTACTAGGTCCCCTTGGGTTTGTTATAACCATGGTTTAATATAGATAACTAATTACTAGGTCCCCTGGGGTTTGTTATAACCAATGTTTTATTGTAGAGAACTAAATACTAGGTCCCATGGGGTTTGTTATAACCATGTTTTACTGAAGATAACTAATGACTAGGTCCCCTGGGTTTTGTTATAACCATGGTTTACTGTAGAGAACTAATGACTAGGTTCCCTGGGGTTTGTTATCACCATGTTTTACTGTAGATAACTAATTACTAAGTCCCCTGGGGTTTGTTATAACCATGTTTTACTGTAGAGAACTAATTACTAGGTTCCCTGGGGTTTGTTATAACCATGTTTTACTGTAGAGAACTAATTACTAGGTCCCATGGGGTTTGTTAAAACCATGTTTTACTGAAGATAACTAATTACTAGGTCCCCTGGGGTTTGTTATAACCAATGTTTTATTGTAGAGAACTAAATACTAGGTCCCATGGGGTTTGTTATAACCATGTTTTACTGAAGATAACTAATTACTAGGTCCCCTGGGGTTTGTTATAACCATGTTTTACTGTAGAGAACTAATTACTAGGTCCCATGGGGTTTGTTACAACCAATGTTTTACTGCAGAGAACTAATTACTAGGTCCCCCTGGGTATGTTATCACCATGTTTCACTGCAGATAACTAATTACTAAGTCCCCTGGGGTTTGTTATTACCATGTTTTACTGTGGAGAACTAATTACTAGGTCCCCTGGGGTTTGTTATAACCATGTTTTACTGTAGATAACTCATTACTAAGTCCCCTTGGGTTTGTTATAACCATGTTTTACTGTGGATAAATAATTACTAGGTCCCCTTGGGTTTGTTATAACCATGTTTACTGTAGAGACCTAATTACTAGGTCCCCTGGGGTTTATTATACCCATGTTTTACTGTAGATAACTAATTACTAAGTCCCCTGGGGTTTGTTATAACCATGTTTACTGCAGAGAACTAATTACTAGGTCCCCTGGGGTTTATTATACCCATGTTTTACTGTAGATAACTAATTACTAAGTCCCCTGGGGTTTGTTATAACCATGTTTACTGCAGAGAACTAATTACTAGGTCCCCTGGGGTTTATTATAACCATGGTTTACTGTAGATAACTAATTACTAGGTCCCCTGGGGTTTGTTATAACAATGGTTTACTGTAGATAACTAATTACTAGGTCCCCTAGGGTTTGTTATAACCCTGTTTTATGTAGAGAACTAATGACTAGGTTCCCTGGGGTTTGTTATCAACATGTTTTACTGCAGAGAACTAATTACTAGGTCCCCCTGGGTATGTTATCACCATGTTTCACTGCAGAGAACTAATTACTAAGTCCCCTGGGGTTTGTTATTACCATGTTTTAGTGTGGAGAACTAATTACTAGGTTCCCTGGGGTTAGTTATAACCATGTTTTTTGTAGAGAACTAATTACTAGGTCCCCTGGGGTTTGTTATAACCATGTTTAATGTAGAGAACTAATTACTAGGTCCACTTGGGTTTGTTATAACCATGTTTACTGTAGATAACTAATTACTAGGTCCCCTTGGGTTTGTTATAACCATGTTTAATGTAGAGAACTAATGACTAGGTCCCCTGGGGTTTGGTTTGTTATAACCATGTTTACTGTAGATAACTAATTACTAGGTCCCCTTGGGTTTGTTATAACGATGTTTACTGTAGAGAACTAATTACTAGGTCACCTGGGGTTAGTTATAACCATGTTTAATGTAGAGAACTAATTACTAAGTCCCCTTGGGTTTGTTATAACCATGTTTTACTATAGATAACTAATTAATAAGTCCCCTTGGGTTTGTTATAACCATGTTTTACTGTAGATAACTAATTACTAGGTCCCCTGGGGTTTACTATAACCATGTTTTACTGTAGATAACTAATTACTAGGTCCCCTGGGGTTTGTTATAACCATGGTCTACTGTAGAGAACTAATGACTAGGTTCCCTGGGGTTTGTTATCACCATGTTTTACTGTTCAAAGATGTGGATGCCCTATACTAATTCATCTGTCCGCCCGTCACAATCAAACAAGGTATCAACTTACCAAAGGTCAAGGTAACTGGGTCAAAGGTCAAGATCAAATTTTGTATCTTTTCCCTGATGAACATTTCGTTATGACATTATGAAGGAAAGTTGGTTGGAATTTAACAAAGAGTCAACTAACTTAAGGTCAAGGTCACTGGGTCAAAGGTTAAGGTTAAATTTAGTATCTTTTCACTGGGGAACATTTTGTTACAACACTTTGAAGCAAAGTTGGTCAGAATTAAACAAGGAGTCTGTTGACCAAAGGTCAAGGTCACTGGGACAAAGGCCAAGGTCAAATTTTGTATCTTTTCCCTGATGAACATTTTGTTATGACATTATGAAGCAAAATTGGTTAGAATTTAACAAGGAGTCAACTGACTTAAGGTCAAGGTCACTGGGTCAAAGGTTAATGTCAAATTCAGTATCTTTTCACTGGGGAACATTTTGTTATGACACTTTGGAGCAAAGTTGGTCGGAATTAAACAAGGAGTCAGTTGACCAAAGGTCAAGGTCACTGGGTCAAAGGTGAAGGTTATATATTTTTTTATCTTTTTGCTGGTGAACATTTCGTTTTGACACTTCGAAGCAATGTTGGTCAGAATCAAACAAGGAGTCAGTTGACCAAAGGTCAAGGTCACTGGGTCAAAGGTGAAGGTTATATTTTTTTATCTTTTTACTGGTGAACATTTCGTTTTGACACTTTGAAGCAATGTTGGTCAGAATCAAATAAGGAGTCGATTGACCAAAGGTCAAGGTCACTGGGTCAAAGGTCAATGTCAAATTTTGTATCTTTTCCCTGATGAACATTTTGTTATGACATTATGAAGCAAAGTTGGTTGGAATTTAACAAGGAGTCAACTGACTTAAGGTCAAGGTCACTGGGTCAATTTCAAGGTCAGATATTGTATCTTTTTACTGATGAACATTTTTTTTGTATGTTATTATGAAGCAAAGTTGTTCAGAACTTAACACAGAGTCAACTAACCAAAGGTCAAGGTTAGGGGTTCCAAAGGTTCAAGGTCAATGTCTAGTTTTATGTTTTTCACTGATGAACATTTTGTTATGATATTATGAAGCAAAATTGGTCGGAATTGAAAAATGAGTCAACTGACCAAAGATCAGAGTCACTGGGTTAAAGGTCAAGGTCGTTTACGTCCAAAGGTCAAAGACAAAGTGGATCTCTTACTTTGACCCTGGTTCTTGATGGGGGAGGTATTTAACGTGAAATAAACAAATTTAAGCTAACAAATGAGTATTGGACCGGTATTTACATTTCTGTTAGCCCAGCAAATATGGAGGTGGAAGGAAACAAGACTCACATCATAGTACATGTAAAATGTATATTTTGCTTCCTTGCGATTCTTTTTGAAGTCCAAATGTCAAACGTCAAGCTCAGCTATATGGGCAGATTGCTTCTTGATGATTATGGGGGATATATTGCCACAAGACGGGGCCCTTACTGACCTGTCAGTGTTCTAGTTTTGAATGGATTCATTTCAAACTTCATAGGATGGTTCATTGCTACGAAAGCTTGGACAAGTTTGATAACCATAATCCGCCTGTTACTAAGGGGCCCTTTATAGAATTGAAGTAATGGTTTCTGCTCAATAACTTCAGTTATTTTGAATGATTCATTTCAAACTTCATAAGAAGGTTCATTTCTGTGAAAGCTTGGGATAACCAAATTATTCGCTGGTTATCTACAGAGTTATGTCCCTTTGAAGAATTGCCGAAACAGTTTATGATATTAAAAAGCAAAGTTGGTCGGAATTAAAGAATAAGTCAACTGACCGAAGATCAGGGTCACTGGGTTAATGGTCAAGGTCATTTGGGTCCAAAGGTCAAAGACAAAGTGGATCTCTGACTTTGACCCTGGCTCTTGATGGAGGAGGTATATAAGGTGAAATAAAACAAATCAAAGCTAACAGGAATTTTGAATAGATTCATTTCACACTTCATAAGAAGGTTCATTTCTGTGAAAGCTTGGGATAACCAAAACTATTTGCCGGTTATTTACAGAGTTATGGCCCTTTGTAGAATTGCCAAAACAGTTTCCGCTCAATAACTTGAGTAATTTTGAATGGATTAATTTAGGAAGGTTCATTGCCATGAAAGCTCGGACAAGCTTGATAAGATTTGACGCTTATCTCTCCAAAATTTATGCACTTATGGCCCTTTGTGGCAAACTGCTCATTCTACATCTGAAGGGCGTATCATGTACCGTCTCGCAGAACTCTTGTTATTATATGGAGAACTAAATACTTATAGGTCCTAGTGTTATTTTTGTGATTTGTATAAAGGGGCTGTAGTTTTAATGTGAATTTTTTTCTCCATATATGTGCTTAATTTGGTGAATTGTATATATATATCTAAGGTTTAATTCATAAATACTTCAATTTGTGATTTAGAGAATGCTATTTCAATATTGACTGTAGGCAAAATTTAAATTCTCCATTGAGTTTAAAAAAAAAATCAATTGTTTGTATGAATGATGAGCCATGCAGTGAGAACTTGTTTTACATTTGTAATAATTCACATGTTCACTTCAATGAGAAAAATGTGGAAAAAAATATTACTGCTAAAATACGAGTGTAGCCACCATGTAATATTGGCTGTTATGATTTTGACTGTTTTTCCTTTTCTATCACCTAGATAGTTTATACCAATGAAAAAGCAAAAACATTAGATCTTAAGTCATTCATTAGAAAATTGTGGAGTTGATAAATCCTAGTTTAATATTAGTATGTTGGCCTATACTATCATTATGTTAGATGGAAGATTTTGAAGTCCTGTGTGCCTGTAACATATACAGTTGTGGGACCGCACAACGCACCAAAAATACTGTGCATACATCGTTCACACACCATCCGCACATTGTCCACACATGGTGCGCACAACTGTGCGATCTAACAATCGTTCGCCCCGTTGTGCGCTTCTCTCCGCACAACTGCGATTTGGTACAATGCTGTATTTTAGGTTATTTTGTAATAAGAGTTTAATTCAAATTATTAAACTATATAGTATTGTCTAAGTGAGAATGCTTAAGTTGTACGTATGTCTGACGTACTTAACTATTTTTATATACCGATTCTCGTACTCGTTCAACCGGTTTGTCTGGTCAACGTGTGTCTCAAGTGTTTGTTACCTGTGCTGTTTTGTTATGTAAATGTCTTGTCACGTGATCGCATGTCAGCTCGTGCACTTGTACGTCTTGTATCTTCACTCCCGCACTGGACAGAGACCGGACCAGACATAGAAACCTATACCGACATATATGATACCGACTGCGGTGAACAGAACTCTACTTATTTCAGAAACCATAGACCTATTATGTAGGCAACGTATATTATACGTAGAGCTATCATCATTAGACCCCTGTCGGAGCGATAGGGGTCTTTCGACTCCAATAAAACGATTGAATAACTAGGAATTTGCTTCTTCGTGATTTGTAAGAATTTGTGTAGCACCTGAACCCGGCTACAATATCACGGAATGAAAACAATATGGGAGGCTTGTATATATTACTGTAATTTCTCATCACAATTATTAAGATTATTTACAATTTTACAATGCGTGTAACACAGTATACAGTGACCGTTAGCCTGTCAAGAATGGGTTTGGCTCCTCGGTAACAGAACAGGTAAATAACAATTTGACCAGAGTTTTACCTGGCCTTTGCCATGTGATACCATATGACCATTATGAAAACACAACTAGACATTTAATATTTGTTATTTGCATTCGTTTTGGTCTTTAGCTCCCCTTCACCTAGTTTTCACACCTTGGCGAGTTACGAAAGTGCCCCGGGCTGGGGAAAACTACGGTCCAGGTACAAAGTGGCTATGTTTACCTGTGTTGCCGAGACTGTGTTGTAATTTTACATGTGTCGATTAAGGTCGGCAAACCGAAAACACCATTTCTGAATTTAAGAAAGTATAGACTGAAAGATATGCTTATAGATGTAGCTTGAATATAGAAACATACTAAAAAAAGTGTATATGTTTAAACACGAAACTGTATATATTGTTAAGCCATTCCTCAATTTACACCAACCACGATCGTTAACACACAACGTTCGTCGATCGTCCGCACAAATGTGCGCAAACAATGATCGTCCAATTTTTTATCGTTTGCACTTTGTGCACACATCATTCACACACTGTTCACACATCATGCGCACACCATACATGATGTGCGATCCCACAACTGTAAGTATGACCAATGTGTTTTTGAACAGGTGCCCTATTTATAGACAATGGTATAGAGCTAGCAGGGCGCATCTACTGTCAGACACTGTTTGATGATGACAGACTTGTGAAGACGTGGCGAGAGTTGGCATTACACCCGCTCCAGGAGGAGGAGCCTAACGGTGACAGACAGTGGTTGGAATCCAGCCCTGCCTTACAGGTTTGTCGGATCCGAATCTTCAAAAGCCAAATTCACAAATCTGTAGATGTCCCCATATCTTATTTACAGCAGGTTCTTATTGTCTTGTCCACATCCTTTACTTAATTTTAAGGAGCAAATTATCAGGTGAACTGATGAAAACATGTACCCATAGATATCACTTAAAACTTTGAGAGTGCAGTAAACAGATTTTCCAGAACTAACACAAAATATAGAATATGTGTGAAACAAGTGGCTGGTGGACACTTAATGTAAATTCAACACAGTTTATTTATCGCTTTAAGCTTGCTGCTCATAAAGTGTCCTGACCCCATCCCTCTACTATTATATCAAAAACCAAGTGAAGGGCATATGAGTCACGTGGAATAACTCCATTGCCATTGTAGAAATCAGGGGAGGTTACTGTAAAAATTGAGTTATAGTTAAAACATGCTATCCAAACTTTTAAAGATAAATAATAAAATATCTGAAATATAGACAACCACTAAAAATTCAGCAGATCATGTTCCGTTTTTTTTTTTTATAGAAATTGTTGAATTTTGAAGAAGCAACTGGGATAACATTCAACCACATACGACTGCTGGCCAAGGCATTTACCCTGAGGAGTGTTGGTTATAACAACCTCACATTGTAAGTATATATACACCTACTGGGCAGGGTTATCACCTCAAGGCGTGTTGGTTATAACAACCACACATTGTAAGTATATATTCACCTCCAGGTCAGGGTTATCTCCTCAAGGAGTGTTGGTGATAACAGCCTTACATTGTAAGTATATATAAACCTACTGGTCAGGGTTATCACTTCAAGGAGTGTTGGTTAAAACAATGCCACATTGTAAATATGTATACAACTACTGGTCAGGGTTATCACTTCAAGGAGTGTTGGTTATAACAATCTCACATTGTAAGTATATCTACACCTACCGGTCAGGGTTATCACCTCAAGGAGAGTTGGTTATAACAACCTAACATTGTAAGTATATATACACCTGCTGGTCAAGTCTATCACCTCAAGCAGTGTTGGTTATAACAATCTCACATTGTAAGTATAAATACACCTACTGGTCAGCGTTATCACCTCAAGGAGCGTTGGTTATAACAACCTGACATTGTAAGTACATATACACCTACTGGACAGGGCTATCACTTCAAGGAGTGTTGGTTAAAACAATGCCACATTGTAAATATATAAACAACTACTGGTCAGGGTTATCACCTAAAGCAGTGTTGGGTATAACAACCTCACATTATAAGTATATATACACCTACTGGTTAAGGTTATCACCTCAAGCAGTGTTGGTTATAACAACCACACATTGTAAGTATATATTCACCTCCAGGTCAGGGTTATCTCCTCAAGGAGTGTTGGTGATAACAGCCTTACATTGTAAGTATATATTCACCTACTGGTCAGGGTTATCACTTCAAGGAGGGTTGGTTAAAACAATGCCACATTGTAAATATGTATACAACTACTGGTCAGGGTTATCACTTCAAGGAGTGTTGGTTATAACAGCCGCACATTGTAAGTATATATAGACCTACTGGTCAAGGTTATCACCTCAAGCAGTGTTGGTTATAACAACCACACATTGTAAGTATATATAAACCTACTGGTCAGGGTTGTCACCTCAAGGAGTGTTGATTATAACAACCTCACATTGTAGTACATATACACCTACTGGACAGGGCTATCACTTCAAGGAGTGTTGGTTATAACAGCCGCACATTGTAAGTATATATTCACCTACTGGTCAGGGTCATCACCTCAAGGAGTGTTTGTTATAACAACCTCACATTCTAAGTATATATACACCTGCTGGTCAAGTCTATCACCTCAAGCAGTGTTGGTTATAACAACCTGACATTGTAAGTACATATACACCTACTGGTCAGCGTTATCACCTCAAGGAGCGTTGGTTATAACAACCTGACATTGTAAGTACATATACACCTACTGGTCAGGGTCATCACCTCAAGGAGTGTTTGTTATAACATCCTCACATTGTAAGTATAAATACACCTACTGGTCAGGATTATCACCTCAAGGAGTTTTTGTTATAACAACCTAACATTGTAAGTATATATTCACCTCCAGGTCAGGGTTATCTCCTCAAGGAGTGTTGGTTATAACAACCTCACATTGTAAGTACATATACACCTACTGGACAGGGTTATCACTTCAAGGAGTGTTGGTTAAAACAATGCCACATTGTAAATATATATACAACTACTGGTCAGGGTTATCACCTTAAGGTGTGTCACTTTTAACAATGCATGTTGCAAAATATATATATTTACATTTGCATGGCATTGTCACTATATAGCCTCTTTGAAAGCTGTGTCGTTGATGGGACTTTAATTACCATGCATCACGAGACACAATTCTTAGTGTATTAATACAACACTGACCGGAACTACAATATCCAATATAAATGAATATGACGCCTGCTGAAATATCGCTGGGCATTGTGAGATTTGAGAATGTCATTGTAAATTTATGTGCAAAATAAAAAAATAAATAAAAAACACTTTTATTACAACGAAAACAAGACCAAGGTCTGCAATATCGTACAAAATGCACATCGGTTGAAATCACCAATGCTGGCAATGGAAACAATTTTAACGCTCATGCAATTTATCAGAAATCTCGTCCGTTACACTGCACTGATCAACAGGTGTTCGTTACAAATGTCTGAAATACACATATTCTATAGACCTACTGACACATATGTTACAGACCTACTGATATGAGTCACAGCACACAAAAACATTTCAGACATTTGTAAAGAACGTGTGCTCCGTCGCAAGATCACTCACTTCAAACGCTATCAGTTTCACGTGTCTCGCATCCACCTTTCCTCAGTTTCTGATGACATGTCAAATAACGAGGCTGTTATAGAATCTACCGACTGTTGCCAGGTTCCCATACAATCAATTAATAAATTCATGCCTGGATTCTTCACAAAGTGAGCAAAGAGAAAAGTTTGAATTAACTTCCAAAAATAACTCCCTCGTGGAGGGCAAGGTCGGATTTACGGTGTTCACTGTATTTGTCCATGCGGGAAATTTGTTCCAGGAAATCGAAACAATTTCAAATCTAACTTTCAGCTCAGAGTTCTATTGATAAACTTAAATCACCCTATAAAACATATACGCAATTGTATTGATACTGAATTGTGGAATAAAATTGAAGTGTTTGTTAAAATTTCAAAGTTTCAAAGTACTACTTTGTTTGCCAATCAGTACGCGACAAAACGCTGTTCAAACTATTGAACGAAATTGTGTGGACTGTCGATAAGGCGGGCATTTTTAATTTTAAATATAAATTATAAGTTAAAAAAGAACATAAGAGGCAGAGAAAACGTAAATATAAGTATTGAACTGTTTTTGTTTGGTATTTATGATCTATTTGAATGACACAACTTTGCAAGCAAACAACATAATGCGCACTAGCGCATTATGATTTGTTTGCTTGCAAAGCTGTGTCATTCAAATAGATCATAAATACCATACAAAAACAGTTCAATGCTTAATTACCCTACTGTCAGAAGCATTCACCATGAGGAATGTTGCTTACTTAGTTATACTATTTCATATTCTAATAGATGACAGTAATATATATATTTTCATGTTGATTGTCATGTGTATCTTTTCGGTTACTGTATAATTGTTATTTAATTACTTACATCACAGTAAGTCAACACTTCTTTCACTTATATTTAAAATTTTGTTGTGTTTCAATATTATGCTCTTTATTTATAAAGTCAATTTTTAATTTTGATTTTAAAGATGTCATTTTCAAACTTACCACATGAGTTAAACACAAGGGAGAGAGATGCCTTTTAATATTGTTAAGATTTGATTTCTAGAACATTTCAATTGTCTTGGAAAGAATGGCTGAAAAATTTACCTTTCGGTTAATAATTGTGTTCCAGAGCATATTTATATATTTTTTTTACAGATTTGATCTCTGAATTTGACACTTGACCAGACAGTGGTGATAGGTGCCTTTTACCAAACTTCGTTGTATTCACTAGAACATTGAATATCTGGAGATATTGATGACTATCTCCTCTTGTATTGATGGTTTTTGTTTTGTGCAGGGGTCACAACCAGAGGCTAGAGTTCCTCGGAGACACGGTACTACAGCTGGTGGCGTCACAGTTTTTGTTCAGACACTTTCCTGACCATCACGAGGGACACCTGTCAGTAAGTTTATCATAACTAGGAAGTGCAACTCACATTGTATACTGATGATCTAATAATGTCATCCCATTGGTGACCAAATATACTGACTGACCTTTGTATCTCTAGTTTTGTACTTAATGACCTTTGTACCTCTTGTTTATTGTATCATGTAACCAAGTGTGCCGCTTGACCTTTGCATCTCTAGTTTGGTGTATCATGTGACCAATTGTACTAAATGACCTTTGTATCTCTAATTTTGTGTATCATGTGACCAATGGTACTGACTGACCTTTGTATCTCTAATGTTTGTGGATCGTGTGACCAAATATACTGAGTGACCTTTGTATGTCTAATGTTTGTGTATCATGTGACCAAATATAATGACTGACCTTTGTATCTCTAGTTTTGCGTGTCATGTGACCAAATATACTGACTGACGTTTGTATCTCTAGTTTTGTGTGTCATGTGACCAAATATACTGACTGCCCTTTATATCTCTAGTTTTGTGTATCATGCGACCAAATATACTGACTGACCTTTGTTTCTCTAGTTTTGGGTGTCATGTGACCAAATATACTGACTGACCGTTGTATCTCTAGTTTTGTGTATCATGTGAACAAATATACTGACTGACCTTTGTTTCTCTAGTTTTGGGTGTCATGTGACCAAATATACTGACTGACGTTTGTATCTCTAGTTTTGTGTGTCATGTGACCAAATACACTGACTGACCTTTGCATCTCTAGTTTTGTGTATCATGTGACCAAATATAATGACTGACCTTTGTATCTCTAGTTTTGCGTGTCATGTGACCAAATATACTGACTGCCCTTTATATCTCTAGTTTTGTGTATCATGTGAACAAATATACTGACTGACCTTTGTATCTCTAGTTCTGTGTATCATGTGACCAAATATACTGAATGACCTTTGTATGTCTAATTTTGTGTATCATGTGCCCAATGGTACTGACTGACCTTTGTATCTCTAGGTTTGTGTATCATGTGACCAATTGTACTGAATGACCTTTGTATCTCTAGTTTTGTACTTAATGACCTTTGTACCTCTAGTTTATTGTATCATGTAACCAAGTGTACCGCTTGACCTTTGTATCTCTAGTTTGGTATATCATGTGACCAATTGTACAAGTGTACTGCCTGACCTTTGTATTTAGTTTTGTGTATCATGTGAGCAAGTGTACTGACTGACCTTTGTATCTCTAGTTTTGTACTTAATGACCTTTGTACCTCTAGTTTATTGTATCATGTAACCAAGTGTGCCGCTTGACCTTTGTATCTCTAGTTTGGTGTATCATGTGACCAATTGTACAAGTGTACTGCCTGACCTTTGTATTTAGTTTTGTGTATCATGTGAGCAAGTGTACTGACTCACCTTTGTATCTCTAGTTTTGTACTTAATTACCTTTGTATCTCTAGTTTATTGTATCATGTAACCAAGTGTACCGCCTGACCTTTGTATCATGTGAGCAAGTGTACTGACTGACCTTTGTATCTCAAGGTTTGTGTATCATGTGACAAAATACACTGACTGACCTTTGTATCTCTAGTTTTGTGTATCATGTGACCAAATACACTGACTGACCTTTGTATCTCTAGTTTTGTGTATCATGTGACCAAATATACTGACTGACCATTGTTTCTCTAGTTTTGTGTATCATGTGACCAAATATACTGACTGACCTTTGTTTACTCAGTTACTCTCTAGTTTATTGTATCATGTAACCAAGTGTACCGCTTGACCTTTGTATCTCAAGGTTTGTGTATCATGTGACCAAATGTACTGAATGCCCTTTGTATCTCTAGTTTGGTATATCATGTGACCAATTGTACTGACTGACCTTTGTATTTCTAGTTTTGTGTATCATGTGACCAATTGTACTGACTGACCTTTGTTTACTCAGTTACTACGCAGTTCCCTGGTGAATAACCGAACACAGTCTATTGTGTGTGATGACCTCAACATGTCGGAGTATGCTATTTTTGCTGAAACGAGGGGAGAGAAGTTGTATATGAAAACTAAAGAAAAAGCTGATCTTTTGGAAGGTCTGTACCAAATTGTAAATCTGTTTCAATTTCACCTCAAAACTGTTCTTTTGTATTTAACTGTCAATTTGTAAAAGGTATTTTTCAATTGAAAATAAAACGATTTTGGCATTTTTAGCCCACCATTCTAATGGTGGGCTATTCAAATCACCCTGCGTCCGTGGTCCGACGTCCTTCCTTAAATAATTCTTGTTATCGGTATTTTTCAAGAAGTACCAGAGGGATCTTTCTCCAATTTTATATGTAGGTTCCCCTTGGTCCTGAGCTGTGCAGGGCAACTTTTGAGACTGATCAGATAAACAACATGGCCGACAGGCAGCCATCTTGGATTTTTATATTTAAAGTTTGTTATCGCTATTTCTCAAGAAGTACCAGAGGGATCTTTCTCCAATTTTATATGTAGGTTCCCCTTGGTCCTTAGCTGTGCAGGGCAACTTTTGAGACTGATCGGATAAACAACATGGCCGACAGGCAGCCATCTTGGATTTTGATATTTAAAGTTTGTTATCGCTATTTCTCAAGAAGTACCAGAGGGATCTTTCTC